AAGTATTTTACTTAAACTAGAAGTATCAGTTCTAAGAGGAGAAATATTCATAAATAACATAGTTGGACATTTCCGTCTCCCTGTTGCACTACTATGTTTCTTTACATTTCTCTTTACATCTACAACAAAATGACACTGAGGTACTGAAATGCTTTACTGCATGCTATCCTGGTCCATTTCTATTTTTCCCTTCTCAGTGCAGTTTAAGCTTCTGTATTCTAATCTGTAATGAACATTCTAGTAACAATTGATGTTCCCTTAGGGTCTGTATTGGGACCAACACTATATAGTATGATCATCTATGACATAGATAGTAGGATGGAGTGCACCCCCAGCAAGTTTGCGGATGACACCAAGCTGAGTGGTGCAGTTGATATCCTGGAGGGAAGGGATGCCATCCAGAGGGGCCTGTACAGGCTTGAGAAATAGGCCTATGTGAACATCATGAAGTTCAATAAGGCCAACTGCAAGGTCCTGTGTGTGGGTTGGGGCAATCCCCACTATCAGTACAGACTCAGTAATAAAATGATTAAGAGCCACCTTACAGAGAAGGACTTGGGAATACTGGTGGATGAAAAACTAGACACAAGCTGGCAATGTGTGCTTGCATCCCACAAAGCCAGTCATACCCTGGGCTCCATAAAATGAATCATGGCCAACAGGTTGAGGTAGGTGATTCTCACCTTCTACTCTGCTCTCATAAGACCCCGCCTGGAGTCCTGCATGCAGTTCTGGGATTCCCAGCACAAGAAAGTCATGGACCTGTTGGAGAAGGTCCAGAAAAGGGTCACGAAAATGGCCAAGAGGCCTGGAATACCTCTCCTATGAAGAAAGGCTGAGAGAGTTGGGGTTGTTCAGCCTGAAGAAGAGAAGGCTCCGGGGAGACTTTCTTGAAGTCTTTCAATATATAAAGGGGTCTTGTAGAGAAAGATGGAGAGAGTTTTTATCAGGGCCTGTAGTGACAGGACAAGTGGCAATGGTTTTAAACTGAAAGAGGGTAGATTTAGATTGGATATAAGGAAGACATTTTTTATGATGAGGGTGGTGAGACTCTCGTACAGGTTGCCCAGCAAAGTTGTGGCTGTCCCTTCCCTGGAAGTGTTCAAGGTCAGGTTGGATGGGGCTTTGAGCAACCTAATCTAGAGAAAGATGTCCCTGCTCACGGCAGGGGCGTTGGACTAAATGATCTTTGAAGATCACTTCTGACCCAAACCATTTTGTGATTCTATGATTCTATGAACATGTTCTAATGAATATCTTTATCATATAAAAACAATATGATGACAAATAAAGATGCCATTGTCCCATAATTTAGAGAATACTTGGATTTAGATAGTAATGATTTTTCAAAAAGACAAGTTTTGTAAAAGTGATTGGGAAAAATTCTGCTGCAAATTACCTAGTGTTAATCAAAATCAAATCTACAGACTTCCAACTGAAATTCACCTTTACTTATGTGGAAACATAATAAAAAAGGTAATTCTATAATTTGGCTGACTACTTTGAATTAATGTTTTCTTCAAACTTATTGCTACAATTGGCTCAAATAAAAAAGATTACTTCTGCACATTTTTTTCTTCTAAAAAGAGTATAATAAGAGTTTCAAGGGAAATTCTGAAATTCATCCACATGGTCTCTAATTTAAGGAGATGGGGGTAACATCAAATGCAGAACGTGAAAATTATTGTTTTTGCAGGACTCTTTGGAAATTAATTGTACTTCTGGGAAGTCTGTGAGGTGACACTGAGAGAAGCAAATAATGTCTGTGCCTCATTTTGATGGTTTGAGGAAGTCAGTAAATATGTTGGATGTTAGGTTTTTACATATTAAGAATGCATCCTGAACTCTTTTCCTTCGCATTTCAGAAGAATTGTCAAACAGCATTAAGGAAAAGTGAGTGGTTTTTATCACAATTACAATTTGATGCACAGGCAAATTCTACAGTACATTAAATACACAAATGTAAGGAAAAAGATGGGCTATATGCATAAACAGGCAGAATCACAAAACAGAGAACATCACCAAGAAGTTTCAGAAGTGTTCACATTTTTTCCTGTAGCTTTTTCACTATTCATTCTCTGTATATGTATCTATAAAAATATATTTTTTGAACTTGATATTTATTCCTGATGTCATTTATTTTTTTGGCATGTGATTTCCTGCACAAATACTAAACACTACTTATTGACATATATGTGGCTGTTATTTATTATTTATTTTTTCTTAGATTAGTATTTCTTATCAATCATGTAATTTTATGAGAGTTTCCATAATAAATGTTTGTGCTACCCAGATGTCTTTACATAAACAAACATGTTTAAACACTTACATGTTTTGTAACTTCACCATATTCTGTGATTTAAAACATACATCATGCATGTCAACTAAGAGTCCTCTATTAAACAGTGGTAGAATTTTGCTTACATAATTGTTATACTGTAACCATTCTCTGTGTGCAGAGTTGCCAGTCTACATTCCACCACCCCCATAAAATAATTGTTATTTAACTGTTTGTCTCTTTACTGTTTTTTTCAATTTTATGTAATAGGAACAGTAGGGGGCATTCAGAGCTTTAGATGCTGGATATGGCTGGATATGATCCTATGATGCTAGTTAACTAGTTAACTGCATTTTAAATGTGTAGAATGCAGTTCAATTAATTTACAGTATACCATATTAAATCCATTCATTCATGTAATATATATTTATGCATAATGAGCTTCTCATTTACTTCTCTGTTGTGCTGTTCATTACTTTTCACTTAAGTTCTTAGAAGGATTTCCTTTATACAGGTTTTTAATAAAACAGATGAAATACAAAGATGTATTACAAATTAGTTGCAACAATTTTTCAATTATGAACAAAACTATCTTCTTAAACTCAAAGCACATCTTAATGTGATCCTTACAAAAAAAAACCCAAACCAAAAACCAAAAACAACAAAAAAACCCAAAACAAACAAAACAAAACAAAACAAAAAACCAAACAAACCAAAAAAAAAAAAAAAAAGAACCACCAAAAAACAACAAACAGGAAAAAAATTCTGACTTAGGTATATTATTTGCTGTGGTAAAAAAGTGTCAGGAAAAATGGCTATCCTTCTCTCCAACTCTCAGAAGAAAAAACAAGGAAGAAAAATTACCCAGGATTTCTATAAGCTGTAACTTCAGCTCCACAGGTCTGAGAGAAGCTATGAGAGCTATGAGGAGCCATCTGCCTGATAGGGCCCCTCAGCAAATAAGCACGAGCCTCAGAAACATACAGACTCATAAGGATGTACAATAGTTATTAGGGTGAGGGTGCCACTCTGGTGTTATTTGAGAATATGTGGGTAGAGATGGCTTTATATCAACATGGCGTTTTCCTCATTCCATGATATGGGTAATATTTTCCTGTGTAGAGTATTAATTAGTAGGGGAAAGTCAGTGCCAGCAAAGCGGTCCGTGTAATAAAGCTAGCCATTCTCTAGAGTGGAACACCAGGGGATTTACAAGGTCAGAAGAATTGTGTATGCTTGAGTTTAACTTCAAAGTTTAATATGATCAAGATTCCCTCCAGAGACTTAAGGTCCAACATTTCTTGTAAGGATTGCTCACACATTTTCCATTATAGTTTTTGGATAAAATGCATAAACAGCAGGAGATATGATGACAAAACCATTTTTTGAGTCAGTAGGGCATAGAATCAGATGCACGATATTTCAGTAGAATTTCCTCTATTTCTTGCACTAATACTTGATATTCATATCATAGTTACTGTATGGATTCCAATGGCTAAGTGTACAACCTCAAATATCAAATAGATTATTCAAGTAATGGCATATCACACTGATTAAATGTTTGCAATTTAGATCTAACATTTCCTTTTTTTCTCACAGTTTGCTTTTTGGCCACACTAATGTAGACACTGAGAGCGGAATTCATTTGTTAGGTTGTACTTTGCCATTTGAGGTGCTGTAGGGTACCCCACCTGGAGTTCATCAGCCACTCCACAAGGACGTGGAAATTCTGAGCATCCTCTGTCATACCTTCAGGCCCACGCAGATGTGTCAGTTACTGCAGGGCGCTGGAAGGTACTGGATTTCTGTGTTTGGACACATGAATCCTGCCTTACTTTTGGTCACCTGAATAACCCTGTTGTCTCCTATGATTACACTGACTAGACCTCTGTGGAATAAAATGGCACATATACAGGCAATGTAGACACTAAAATTTAGATCTGAATCTGGAGCTGACTCCCACCTTTACGTTCCAATAACTTCCTGATTACCCTGAAAAATTTAATAGCTTATGGTTACTACTTATATCTAACAGCCTACTTACTTCCAGTCCTCAAGCAGTTCAGCTGACTATAGATGGTGTCAGATTAAAATCTCCTTCTTTCTTTCTATTTCTAAATACTAGCCCTACAATTGGACCATATAGGAATATACAGAATAAAAACAGAATGTGTGCCATATGTTCGACAACAGAATGCAACATACTTATCCTGCCCTTAACCACTGTATAGTCTCATCATTTTTTCCTAGTATTTCTGTGTCCTTTCTGCTGCATATGAATACATGCTGTCCATCTGGTTTGTCATTTATCTCTGCATATCAGTTCATTTACAGTACACTCAAAATATACCAAGAATATTAATTTTATCTCAAAGTTTTTCAGGAATTTAGTATCTAATAAAGTAAAAAAGACACAGTTTATGCAAATATACATCGATATATATAAGATGCATAGTAAGAGTATGTCTTCATATGATTTTTCAGAAACAAGCAGAAGGTTTTTTCACACTTTTAAAATCTAATATCCTTTAGGTCAGTGCCCATGCAGAAGAAAGATAGCTGGTATGCTTATATTGCAAGATTTTATCAGTCTTGGAGAAGAAATTACTGAAACAATGGAAAAGAGATTTTTTTTTTTTAACTTGGCTATAAATTTGACAGACCTAAAGAATATGTGCTGTTCTTTTCTGATGATGTACACAAATATTTTTTATCACTTCACCTGTTCATTCACTCTGGAGTGTGATGGCCCATGATGGATGAGAATCTTCACAATGTCTACATCTCCTCTCCAAGCAGCCAAGTGAATAGGAAAATAACCTTTATTATCTGCCACATTAGTTGATGCTTCATACTGAAGTAATTTGAGAACTATATCCCTGGAAAACAGGAACCACATCTAAAAATTGACAGAAAGCTCATTTGTTAAGTTGTTATATGAACATCTATATTACCAAAATTTTTACCTTGAATACCAGAAAAAAAAATATATTTCAAATGAAAACAGATACAAAAATAAAGACCAATCATTTCTAAGAATGAAATAGATAGTAAACCACAGCCAAAATGTTATTAATTGTAATGATTCTTACTTCTTATGAATACCCATCAATAATATTATCATTAGTTCTCTGAATCTGTTTCTTTCAACAACATCATATGGCCACAGAATCATTTTTAGAATATGCAAGTCCAGGCCAGGTGCATGTCCCTGAAGACAAACCTTCCAAGCATGAAAGGCAAAGAAATACTCCTGTCCCCATCATTGCTGAGTTCTGAAGGCAGGAAGACAAGAGGGTAGATTTATGGGCATGGTTCCTGCAGTAAGACGTAAGTAACAGGTTTTATTCTTCTTTAAGAAGACGGAGGAAACAATTTAATGATGATATAGTTAGATATATAATATCTTCTGTAGAATAAGTGCTTCTATTTTCATTTCTCACATCTAGCTTCCTGAGACCAGTGAAGAAAAAAAGTGACTTTTATTATTTTAATTCTTATTATAGTCCTTTCAGTATTTTCAGTGTGGTTTATTATATATTAAATGAAAGATTAGTATAAACTGGTATATTACATTGCTGATATTTAAGCATCTCCTGTACTTAACTTCAAGAGTTGAATGTAAAAATCAACTGTGTGGTATGATCATGTTATCAAGTATGTCAGAAAGTAAATAAATTCTGTCTTATCTCTTCATTTGTCTTCTCATAGTTTGACACAGTCAGGCCTCATTAGTTATTAAGTTAATTGCATCTGCGATCCAGTGTGGGCAGTTCTATGAACATTTTTGCTGAATATGGAAATACTGGCTATTACTGATTTGGCTTAAAAAATCAGCAGGGGGAGGGAGCTCAATGCAGCCTATGTTATGATTCAAAATGAAGCCCTTGACTACAAATTAAGACAGAAGGTAAATCCCAAAGCAGTTGTTCTCCCAACCTTGATGGAATCTTATTTAATTGCCTATTGAGAGAAAAATGTGGCAAGTAAGAGTAAATATATCCAGGTCATAAGAAATCATAGAGATGCAGGAGTCATCACATCTAAACTTTGAGGGAGACTTTAAGCTGGATTTTGCTTACTCCTGACAAGGTCAAAACACATGAAAACAAACAAGAAAGAGCAACTCCACTGCAGAAGGATTTTTGCCGTACCAAAAGTTCCAGAAAAGTGACTCCCAAGAGAAACTTTTAGTACAAGTAAGGTTTGAGAGAATTCTCATGTAATAGTACTTGGTCTTGCAGTAGATGGTCTAATGAAGTTTACGGATACCGAGTAATTTGAAAGGGACTCAAATCAAAGGAAACAGAATTTGAATTAAGTGGGAGAAAAACAGCAAAATAACCTCCACAACTGAAATCTGTAGATAACAGTATACAGTAACTATTGGGAAAAGTCTGTTGCAAGATTCAAACTACAAAATAGAACCTAGGTCTCCTTCATCCTTCAAGAATGCCCTGACCTATCACACTTCTCCAGGGTGAGTCTTTTTTAGTGCTCCATCAGAACTTTTTCATTTTGTAGAAATAAATTTCAGAGAGGAGAAGACTAAGAGTCCTTAGCCCAGTAACATTACTGGGCTAAGTAAAATTACCTAGGGAGACTGAGATTCAAGTGCCTGTCCCAGATATTATTTAATTACTTATATAAAGCAGAAGAGTTTCAAAAGGAAAGAGAACTATCCCAGAATAACCACGGAGGAGGGAATTCAACACATACAATGATCAAGCAGGGACTTGAACATTGGTGTCCAACAAGTATCCCAGCCACAAATTATTGGTGGGGTCATTAAGTCTTATGTTCTCACTCTTCCTGAAAAACTTTGAAATCTCTTCTAGTTCATTCCAATCTAAAGTGTGAAAAATTAAAACCCCCAAAGTTTTCAAAGGGCAAGAACTTCTCCTAAGTGGAAAGGCTCTTGTGTCAAAAGATTGTGCCCAATATTAATTTTGAATATCGTTTCAAATCTGAAACAGAGTGTAAAGCTATTTATTTGTTATCTGTTGTGACTAACAAAATTACAACCACCAGTTATCTTTCTGATTGTCTTGCTGACACTCCTACCATTGTACCAGGATCAGTTTGATGGCTTAGACAGCAGGTCCTGAATCATCATGACTTATCATGAAATATCTCATGATGCATTTCAGTTTAATATAACAAGCTATAAATGTGATGTCAGTAACTGCTACTTAGCCTGCCGTGAGGGTAAAGGGTCATAGCAGTCAGGGGCCACCATGACCTTCTCAAAAGCTGCAGTTTCATCTGCTGCTGTACATAAGTCCACATCTTGAAGTTCTCTGCCTTCGGCAGAAGTTTGGCCAACACTGAGTCTGAAAACACTATTTGGCTTTTGTATGTTTGGGGATTTTATAGCTTATATTGTTAGGATTCACTTGAAACCTCTGAAAGATTAAGTGTTTATACAACAATATTTTTACTTTGCTAGGTAACTATTGGTTTATAGTCAATATTAAACATAGCAAACTCAGCTTTCTTCTACTTAAAACCAGCAGTCTTTGCAAGCTAAGGCTTGGGCTTTCACCAGTCAAAAATGTGCAGTAGCAAAAGAAACAATCCATAAACTATAAACAAGAGAAATGTGATTTTCTCCCTTTTTAAAAAAGACTGAGTTTAATACACTGTATTAAGGATGAGACTTGATTCCATGGAGGTAAAATATAGTAATGGATGATTCTGAATCTTGCTACAAAACCAAAATTTTGGAAAATGCACAATATCTAGTTTAAAAATATTTTAACTTGATTTATTTATTCAGAAACAGAATCACCAAAAGATTAATCTGGTCCAAAGAAAATATGCAGTTTTCTAGAATACAAGTAAAAGCATATCCTAAAGTTTTAATATTTCCAAGGAAGAATGCAAAAATTGTGAAATGAGTAAACTAAACATGATTATTATGGATTCATATGTTATATTATGGACAGTCCAAAAATCACATTAAAGTTAGCGCAAGTCACTCTTAATTTCAGCTGTTTTTTGATCAGTTCCTTATCTCTCACAGAGGAATAACCCAAAGCCTTACTGTAGAGACTTCATTAAAATCTTTCCTTCTTGTTCTGCCTTAACAACAACATGCATTTGGCAGCATAATACAGTGGAGGTAACATGTAGGAAGGGGCAATGCCTAATAACACAGGCAACACAGAACAAGTTACTAATAACAAAATATGTATCAAGTTTCCACATTTTTTTACTGACACGTCAATGCCTTAAAGAGTTCACCTCACCTGCAGTACCCCTCACTGGGGATTTTGCAAGCTTTCCCCAAGCTTGTTGAGACATACATATGGTAACTTGGATGGACAGCAGGGAGGGAAAAGCTATGAGGTCCCATACAAGGTAACTGACCTTTTTTTTCTGCTTTCAAGTGTATAACTACTAAATATTCTTACCATGCTACTTTTACTTTGAAAATTAATAATTTATACTGTTCTTTTGTTTCACAATATTGCTTCCTTAAATATTCAACACACTATATATGTGTACATACACACACAAGTGTACTACAAAATTTTCTGTTGCAATTTCCCACCAGCTAAAAAGCACTAGAGCCACCACTAGCAGTAACAATAATAAATTTACTCAAAATTGAGGAAGAATTTGTAAGAACCAGTATAGAATCAATAGCTTCTAAACTGCATTTCCCATTTGTTATTACTACATGCTGGTATCAATGGCAGTGTCAAAAATTCTTATATTAATATATCCCATGGGAAATAAGATTATTTTAGTAAGTCAGGGTTTGTCTCAGTGCTATACTACATATTTTTAGGTCACACAGTTAAATACCATGATACATAAAAACTAAATGTAAAGTACTTACTTGTGTCCGTTTAAAGCTGCATGATGTAAAGCAGTATAACCTGAACTGTCTGTGCAGTTTATATTTGGTCCTCGCCAGATGCTGCAAATAAAGCACAATTCTAAAGTTAATTTTTGGCTTGGCAAGTAGAGAAACATCAGAAATTTGACGTATAAGTAATCTAAAGATCTCTCCAACAAGTGTGATTAAACTTTAAAAGACAAATTATCTTGAAAAGAACTTAAAATAGCAAATGTCATGTTGATACCAATATAATTTATTTATAAAAATAATTTTACACATTCATCTTTATAGCAGTCATGAACTTTTTGTAGGGCAGTCTCAAAGACTAATAACTATTCTGTCATTTCAATTAGATCTGTTCTCCCAGTGTTACTCTGGTAATTACACTGAGGTTATAATCTGATTTTGCACTACTTTTTTCACAAGTATATGTTCATTGACTTTAGGTCAGTTAGTCTAGATTCATACAAATTTAAGATTAGTGAGAACCAATCATATCCTTTAAAGGGACAGTAAATTTATTCTTTTTACTCCACCTGATATTTTAGCTCCCATATTTACCAGTTATATTTTAAAATACATAACATATATATAAACTAAAAGTTTAATAAATTATGTTTCTTTTTTTTGTTATCTTTCTGTATTTTACAGCACTTATTTTATAGTCAGCTTCATTACATGTCCCATGTAACCAGTTTCACGATCTATTATGGACTCTTCACAAAATAGTAAAGATTTTTTTTTCCAAAGTAGAAAAATGAGACTGCTAATGTACAAAAAAAAACCCAAAAACAAAACCGAAAAATACCACACCCAAAAAAGTCACCAAACCCTGGCAACTGGATACCAGAGGCATATTGAGTACCAGTAGTTTTTTTTCTAATTGACTACATTTGAAGCTGACTGTAACCTTTGTGGAAGCAATTTTTTTATTCTGTAACACAGTTTTCAATTATTAGTACAATTTCCAGGACACAAGATTCTGAGTCCTGAATTACAGTCTGTTTTCTTTAGTTTCTAATATAGTGTTAAACAGTCATTGGCAAGCCATATTTTTCCTTTACTTCATACCTTAGAATCAAGTGTTTCAGTTTAAAGAAAATAATCTGAAGCCAACAGGTAAAAAGAGTTTTTCATACTGACATTTCTCATGTTCTACATCAACAAAATGATGCTACACTTAACATATACTTTTTAAGAATTCTTTACTACCAAATCTGTGTTTTATTACCTATGGAATACTGATGTTGTAGACTGGTCTCTTTTTCATTGTGTGTATTTGAATGATTAATTAGCTCATAAATTTAAGCAGTAGTTTTCCCATAAGTAATACTGCATGCATACAAAATTATTTATGTGATACATTGTGTTCTGCAGTGAGTATAATTCTACATAGTGCTGGGTACCTCACCTCTCCCTGCAATTTAATTTCTTGGAAGAACAGGACTGAAATATTTTCTTCGGTGCAAAGAAGCAAAAAATGAGGTAATTTTTTTTAATCTGCTCAAAACCTACAGATATTCTTTTCTACAGAAGGCAACTTCCAGCTAGGAAAGCCACTCTAATTTTTCCAATTAAAATAAATTATTTTAACTTCATGAAGTAGTAAAAATTGAGTCCTTGAAATGGTAGCTCCTCCAGAATAAACAGATGTTATTTATATGGCAAAGACAGGCTGTCTTTATCTATTGGAAGGAAAGAATTCCTTATCTATCAATATTCTAGAATTTATTTTCTGCTTTTGCATAATACTTTATTAGTTATTTTATTGGATTCTAAGTTATTTTACTAGTTATTTTATTGGATTCTACTTTCTTCCTTTGATTCGTACCAGCTTACAGGAGAATGAAGAATAAATAAAAAAAAAAAAAGTGGCATAGACAGCCATATTTTAAATATTAAAATAAATACATAAATGACCAGAATATTAATTTACTTGGTTTTGCTTGATTACTTGGTTTGGTTTACAGTTGTAAGGAGTTGCCTGTTGGTTGTTTTTTCAAAATGCAAGGGATCCATGGGTTCATATATTATTCATGGTGTGTTAGGCCTTAAAAAGAAAACAACCACCAAACAAAACAAAACAAACAAACAAACAAAATCTAGTTCTCTTCTCCCCTAATTTTATCCTTAAATCCAGGCACTCTTTAATGTATTTTTGTACTTCCTGACTCTGGTATCAGGAAATACTGGAACTATACTGTTGTGGGTTTTTTAAATTGAAACTTTATTAATGACTATATAAATGCACCTATGTGAAGCTCCTCAGGACAGTGAGGTTGGGAGACAAAGGACAAAGGAGAGTGAGTAAATCCTGATGACTCAGAGATGAGACAGTATGGACAGACAAAACACTGCCAGCTCCTGAACAGTACAGAAAGACATGCTCAAATTCAGAGCTTGGTTATCAAACTAAAGAACACAGGAGACGTGAGCAGGAGTCAGCTGCACACATCTCTCTTCCCTTGGGCCAGTGCAGAAATCCCCTCCTAGGAGGTCTTGAATTGCTACAGCATTGAAGCATTATTTCCTACAAAATTAACACTGGTTCAGTATAGACACTGAATACTTATGCTTTAATAATCGACAATCAAATTCAAATTGGGCAGTCTGTGAATAGAAATTCTTACACCTTAATACTCCCAGCTGTGGAGAATACTTCATCTGAAGGTCTTCTCCTGTAACCAGAATACAGCAGGGCAAAAGTCTAGTGGTGTTATTAGCTCCATAAAAAGCATCTGACTTTAAGGAAAAGTGTGGTGGAGAAAGGGAAAGAGCCTAAAGAGCCCTTCTTTGGCATCATAAACACATACACTATATGAGGGATTATCAAATATATTGATTTATCTGTGTATTAAAACACTTCAGTAGTTACTGTGAAAGCAACATTGAGGAGAACCTGGAACAAAATAAATTACCATTTAACCTCCAGAAAAGAGCATTTGTTGACAGATTAGCAGTTCTTTAGATTACTGTTAATATTGAATGTACTCAAAAACATGTTTCTTCTAATTCTTTGATGCAGTCAATAATCAAATTTCTTAATTTTACATCCGTTAGTAAGTTTGGATTTGTTTTTCCTATGTACAACAGCAAATTAGAAAAATGTTTCTATCACTTCATGAATTTTAAGAAAGTAATTGAACCTACATATTGTACAAAATATCAGATTTCAGTCAATGATGAATTAAAACCCTGAATTAAAACATGAGCATCAACTAGTTTGTCCCATTATGACTTGCCATAGTGAGGCACAAAGAAACAGAAGTCTGTACTGAAACTGAAGTCTGTATTGCCAAAAGCAGAAAGACCTTCTTACTACAGTTTGCTCTCACTGTGGACAAAGAATATTGACCTTTTGCACTGATGTCAAATATTAATTGTAAATACTATTTACTCAGTAAGAAAATTAACATTTTTTTCTTTTTCATGAGTTGCAGATAATTACATATAAAGAGTAACATTTAAAAAGTGATATGGAAATGACAGACTAAAGAAAAAGACGGCTAGTTGATTGATTTGTTATTTTGATGTGCTTTTTGCTATATGGAAAAAAATAATTGTGAAGTGGCTGTTGTTACACACATATGAACACGAAAGAAAGGAAATCAAAAGTTAATTCAGCTAATCTTCATCCCACAGACACACTCCCTATCAACAGTACAAGAACCATGCATACATCCACAGAATATCCAACACAACTTTAAACCTGTTTCCATCATATTTCCCCTCTGTACATATGCTTTCATTATATTATTTCATTATTATTATATTATTTAATTATTATTTAATTATCCACGCACTAATATTTATGGTCTTTATATGGTAGCTTTGCCAAGGTGAAAAAAAATATTTTGGTAAAACAATGATAAGAGTCTTTAAAAGCTGTAGAAAGCTGCAAGATGACATCAGTGTCTGTCCACTGGTTTCACTTAAAACTTCTGACAACTGACTGGTAACTCTCTTTGGAATTTATTTCTTCTCTGAAACGAAGCAGCAAAGAAGAGGCTGACATTGTCTGGATGGAATCAGTTCCTCCAGAGGAGATGGATAGGGCATGGTGTTCATGCCTGCACATTTTAGGGTTGAAACCCTGTTGAGGGCTGAGAGAGGCTTAGCACATGCCTAGTCCTCACCCCTCCCACTCCTCTCACCACCTTCTTTCCCAGATCTTCAATATCTTTGGAAGCTCTTCCTAGAGACCCCCTGGCTCTTCAGGACTATAGAAGCAGTGAATCTCATCTTGCCATAGTTTTAATAGTGGGAAATCCTAAACTTCATCCTGTTCCCATTGATGTTGGTGGCAAACCAACCAGCTCAGATAAATCTAGCTTATTGTTCCTGTGTCCCATAGAATAAATACATATTATGGGAATTTGTGTTGTTCTGAGCCAAAAGCTTCCAACATTTTCATGTTTGTAGTTGTTAATCTGACAGAAACACATTGCTTAAAGTTATGAGAGCACATGGCCAGGCTCCTATATTCATTTGTGCTCTGCCTACGTTCATACACAGTTTCAGTTGTGTAAACTGAGCTTATACAGAATATATAGACAATTCTGCAGAGCATTTTTGGAAATGCAAACTTTTACACAATATGTATCATCAGTTATTCAGACACAAAATAATAATGTTATTATAAGCAGCTGAAAAATAGCTCTCATTATTTTATGCACAAATAAATTGACAACAATGTTGCTCTAACCCATATAATTATTAATGTTACTTTTCAAAAATATAAGTGTTTCATTTCAGTAAATGTGTTATTTTTTTTCTTTCTACACATTCTTTTCTGATGGGAGCCAGTGCTATGTAAGATATATTATCGTGTAAAAATAATGTATGTTTTAAGTAATGTATGTTTTAAAAATAATGTATGTTTTCCATGTATGGTTTTACCTATTATTTACACTATGCTGAATTTGAGATACATTTTCAAATTACTTCAAGGAAAGTAAATTTAAATATTTGCCTTAGCGACAGTGGGGGAAAACCCTCTTAGAAAGTAATATTCTAAAGCATAATAAATAATTAATATATAATAACAAGATGCTCAGAAGCTGTACACAGAACAAAAA